GGTCCGGCTCGGACGGCGGCGCGCGCCCTGCGTCCAGCGCGGAGACCCGGGTCCCGCGGAGGGGTCGTGGGCGGGACCCCGGGGCCTGCCTGCAGCCCCTCCCCTGCGCCCGCCGTGCTAGCTCGGCCGAGGGCCTCCCCCTGTCTTGGCCCCTCCAGCACCCACACTCCGGCCTTGGGTCTGCCCCCTCCCTCGGGGCCCTGGGTGCCCGCCAGGCCGAAGTCCGGTTCATCCAGTTGTCCTGCCGGCCACCCCCTCCCCCCTCACCCCCCTCCCGTCAGGGGCCGAGGAGGCAGCCAGTGCCCTGCGAGTCTCACCACCCCCTTCCCGGACGGACCTCAGCCTGGAAGCAAGTGCAGAGAACTTCCCGTTTTCCCAGGGGATGCTCCAGGCCCCGGGCGGGGGGGGGTGTCACTCCCACCTCCCCCCTGGCCTGCCGTCTCCCCTCCCCCGCCCAGTGGCTTGGCCCACTGCGCCTGAATAGTTGGGTTGGAATTGGGTTGTTTGACAGCTGTGGTGGGGTTGGAGACTGACTAGATGGGGCCCACGAAGAGGGAGGTCCAGCCAGCCCTGATTGCAACTTCTTCCCCAATCCTCTTCTCCCTCCCTCCTCAGTGACGTTGAGTGGCCCCTGCCACTCTCCGAAACTATCTAGTCAGCACCCTTCAAATGCCTCCCTCCCCTCTTTTGTGGTGCTCCAGGCCCGTCTGCTTTGCCGCCTCTTCCAGGAAGGCCCCCTGGAACAAATCACAAGGACATTTTGTCCGGACGCTGGGCGGGGGGGTGGCTCTGGATGAGGACGCAGCATGTGTTTTGAGAACCTTCTTCGTGCAGATCCTGGGAGGTCGCTTTCCCCCCGTTTTCCCGCCAGCTGGCGGATTCCCATGCCAGGCAGCCCCAGGAGGGTCGGAAATCCATACCCCCAGGTCCCCGGTGCCCAACCCACATCTGCTCAGCCAAGGACCTGCCCCTGGGAGCAGGCAGTGACCTCCGGCCTGGTTTTCCACATCCCTGGTACCAGTGGGCGGGGAGTTTAGGTCATAGAGCACTGGAGAGGGGCCCGCCGGAGGGGGCTGGGGGCCAAGGGGAGGAAACTGAGGCCCAGAGAGGCAGGGGCTGTGTGGGAGGCTGACCCCCCTCCCACCCCCCGGGGCCCATCTGTTGCTGATCTCCAGGGCTGCGCCCCCCCACCCCCACGTCCAAGGTCATCCTGCTGTTGCTGAGGCTGCAGGAAAAGGGATCAAAGGGAGGTGTGCCCGGGAGAGCCAGGGGAAGGGTGGTGTCCCCCGCCCCCTCACCCGGATGTGGGAACTCCTGGGCCCCACTTGCCCCAAATGGCAGATCCCCTGCCCCGGGGAGCAGGCGTGGAAACTCAGAGGAGGCGGTGACCCGGCCTCCTTCCCACTCCTGACCCAGACCTCAGTGGATAAAGGTGAATGGGGCAGAGAGCAGCGTGGGGTTGTCTCTGCCCTTTGGTCCACAGTGGCCACTATGTCTGGAGATAACAGCCTCGGGGAGGAGGCGGAGGCTGTAAATGCTCCCAGGAGCCCCGTGACCGCGGGGAGTCCCCCTCCCCCCAGCTTCCATTCTGCTCTGGCCATTGCGGGAGATAGAGCCCCGCATACAAGAAGCACTTAATAAATGGGGCGGTTGCCACCCTCCACCCCTCACGCTGTCTCCTCTGAGCCCTCGGGGCTGGGAGCCTGTGTGCGCGGCCGGGACGCGCTCAGTACAGCTGTGGAAAGGAGTCTTCTCTGCCGAGTTGTACTCACCTAACCCCACAGCAGCCCCAGGAGGCAGGGCCACTGCCACCCATTGACAGATGGGGAAACTGAGGCTCCAAGCAGAGAGAAATGCTGGTGTCGCGTGGAGAGTGAGTGTGAGAGCTGAGGGCTTTCCTCAGTCTGGGGACTCGAGACTGTGCTTTGCTGTCTGCACTAAGACCAGCGTTCTCACACTTGGCCATGTGCCCCCCTCAGGACACCAGGCGCTGTCTGGGGACGTCTGTGGTTGTCACACTGGGGGTGCTCCTGGCATGGAGTGGGTGGGGGCCAGGGATGCTGCTCAACCCCCCACAGCGCCCAGGACGGTCCCCCAGAGAGTGACCCGGCCCTGAGTGTCCACAGTGCCGAGACCGAGAAACCCTTGTTGTCAGTGCCATCGAGTGGGTCCCGACTCCCCGCGCCCCTGTGTCCAGCAGAGCGGTACCTGCCCGGTCTTTCTGCGCCACCCTGTCCCCTCCCGGCGCTCTATCGGACGATGCTCCACTGCTGTTCACAGGGTTTTCATGGCCAGTCTTTTGGGGTGTGGGTGGCCAGGCCCTTCTGCCCAGTCTGTCTAGTCTGGAAACTGCTGGCACCTGTCCTCCACGGGAGACCCTGCTCGTGTTTGAAATCCTGGTGACATAGCTTTCAGCATCACAGCCACGCGGGGCCGCCACAGGATGACAACCGACAGACGGGGGTGTGCTTCCCTACTGGGACTGAGCCCCGAATCTTAACCCCTAGACCCCCAGGGCTGGCTTGCAAAGCCTTACCCTAAAATAAAAGTGCAAGACGCTGTTGGCTTTCTCTGCTCACCAGGAATCACATCTTAACAACAGAATGGCCTCACTTTCAGGTTATTCTCCTGTTACTTTTATTCACACGCTGGCCTCTCGTGCCCAGCCCCTTCTATAGGACCTAGAGTGAGGCGGGTATAATTGCAGACGATCACTTATTCACTCAACAAACGTTTATTGGGCAGCTATTCTGTACCTACCAGGGCCAAGGTCCCTACCTGTCCTTGGGGAGCTCACAGTCCTGTAGGGGAGACGGATATGTTAACTGGTTGCAGATACACGACTTGGGGTTCAGGGCCACACTGGGGGTCGCCCAGGTGCTGTGGGGGCAACTAATGCATCCTGGAGGGGTCGCCGAGGCTTCTGGGAGGACCGACAGCTGCGGACCGCGGGGGCCAGGCCAAGAGGAGCCCGGGGCGCTGCAGTGCGGGCGCAGAGTGCGTGGGAGCCCCGCTCACGCCTCTCTTTTCTGCAGGAGCCGCCACTCTGCTAGGCCTGTATCTTTTATTCGGCTACGGGGCGTCTCTGCTGTGCAATCTCATCGGCTTTGTGTACCCTGCATATGCATCGTGAGTGCCGGGGCTGGCCGGGCGGTGGGGCGTCCGGGGGCTCCGGGCAGCCCCTGACCCCTGCGCCTCCCCCCAGAATCAAGGCCATCGAGAGCCCAAGCAAAGAGGACGACACTGTGTGGCTCACCTACTGGGTGGTGTACGGCCTGTTCGGGCTGGCCGAGTTCTTCAGCGATCTGCTCCTGTCCTGGTTCCCTTTCTACTACGCGGGAAAGGTGGGCGCCGCCAGGAGACACGTGTGGCTGTGGTTCCCAGCAGCGGGCGGGTGGCCAGGAGACCGGGGGTCTGAGGGGGCCCTGCCTGCTGCCTCCTGGGGTGTGAGGGGGAAACTCAGCCCGTTCTCCTGGGAAACAGGCCCGGCCAGGGGCGTGTCTGACGGGGGAGGCCCGGCCCACCCCAAGGGGTGTCTGATGGAGGAGGCCAGGCTCATCCCAAGGGGTGTCTGACGGGGGAGGCCCGGCTTATCCCAAGGGGCGTCTGATAGGGGAGGCCTGGCCCACCCCAAGGAGCTTCTGACGGCGGAGGCCCGGCCCACCCCAAGGGGCGTCTGACGGGGGAGGCCCAGCCCACCCCAAGGGGTGTCT